AATAACCAAGTTCAGAGACAATTATTCTTTTTTGTTAATTCCATTCCAACAAACCATTTTCTGCCTGAGTTTCCAGGCAAGCTGCTTCTACTATGCATTTTGGCTAAATTATGTCCGTATTCTTTTCAAAATGAATTTTATTTTTACAACGCGATGACCGTGAGGGCATTCCGATGTATTGTTGCAGACGAGATTTCCACTTACGTAACTGTCGTGTTTGACTGGTAACCGTCTATAAATACGCGGACATTATCGAGTGCAAAATAACATTCCTTATCGCTTGTTATACATTCATTTCTTAAATGAATACTCATTGTCACCATCTTATGGTGTTTATATATCTCAACTTGTACGATTCGCTCGTGTATGTAACAACGTATTAGATTTTAGAGAAATTTATGTGTTACTGAAAAATCATTACACTAGGATTTTCGATAATACAAACTAGTCAAAATATTTATTAAAATTTATCATCGGTACAAGGACATCATTCGTAAATATAATTCAACATGCAGACATCTTATACGTTCAGGTATTTCACATCTAATTTTTTATGGTAATATTCTTTACAAAGCACAAAAATGTCGGCATTCACCTCAAAAGCTAACAAAACCTTTACACAGACCTTTTAAAAAGGGATATAGTTACGATACTGTTTTGGCTTTAATATTGATTCACTTATAGGGTCTTTGCATTGGAAATAAACACATTTATTCTAAAACCAGTTGTTGGCATGATACGGGTTATGTTCTTCTCGTATATTGTATGATGGTATAATACTAAACCCCTAACGGGAGGGATTGTGCTTCATATTCATATGATGAAGACACAATCTTTCAATCAGTTTAATTGAGGTCTGGAGCTGGCATGTCAGTAACTGTTAGTAGTCCTTTGTTAATATATGTATCATTGTCATTTTGTTTAGTTTCTTTTGTTACCTATTCTGACATGGGACTCGGACTTCTTTTAAACGGAGTTTTACTGTGCGTATTGTTGTGTGTTTGTTTTTTCTACATTGGCTAGAGGTATAGAAGGAGGGTTGAGATCTCAAAAAACATATTTAACCCCGCCGCATTTTTGCGCCTGTCCCAAGTCAGGAGCCTCTGGCCTTTGTTAGTCTTGTATGCTTTTTAATTTTAGTTTCTTTTATATCTTTCGGAGTTTAAATTTTAGTATGACGTCCAATATCACTGAACTAGTATACATTTTTGTTTCGGGGCCAGCTGAAGCACGCCTCCGGATGCGGGATTTTCTCGCTGCATGCATTGAAGACCCATTGGTGGCCTTTGGCTGTTATCTGCTCTTTGGCTGGGTTGTTGTCTCTTTGACACATTCCCCATTTCCATTCTCAATTTTACTCATAACAATATTTTTGTTTAGAACATAAATTAATAATATGAAAATGTTTTGTCGTTAAAAATATATATATAAGTAAAAAATCATTGATAATATCTATAAACACGTACAGAAAAATAGTGTTTAAGAATATCTCAAGAACGTTTTGCGGGACTTGAAATATGAATGCCTGCTCAAATCCAATCTATTAGAAAAATCGAATTATTACAGAAAAATGTCCACCATGTACAATGATGTTCTTGGAAGTTGCATTGCACTATTATTAGAATAGTAAAATAGAATGATATACAAATGGATGAAAATTATATATACATGTAACTGTTAAATACAAACATTAATATAATATACTAATATAACAACAAACCAGAGTATACTGATTTCTATCACTACAATATAATAGTTTTTACGGTGATGTTGAATTCCCTGTCATTTATTCATCTTCCACGCACAAACTTGTCTCAGAAAAAAATATATCTTTGTACATTAATCTCACTTTCAGGTATACAGATGTCATTTTTTTTCTGAGACAAGTGCTTGTGACCATCCACAAGAACTTGCGGTCATCAGATGTTCAGTACTTCAGTACTTTGATTCTATTTTGCAAGCAGTTTTTTCAGCAACCATTTTAAAACGAATGGGTTTCTTACCGAAATTGCACTAATTGTGGCACTAACGGCATTTTCCTTATTTTCACACATTATCCTGCGATTCTATAATTCGGATTTCTAGTTTAAAAAAAATCATCGGGAAACGGCGTGCATCAGACTTACAAATTCGATGCAAACAGACAGCTTAACAGCCAGTAAAGAAGTTATTGAGGTTCTTGAAGCAGAAGAAACGACACTTCTATCCTGTGAAAGGACAAGTCGGGGACGAGCCATAGAATAACAAGACATTTGATCCATTTGTTTAAAATGAGCTTCCTATATACATGATATACATTAGCGTTTCATATTTTAGAGCGGGAGACAAAAGAAAGGGGTGGGAGAAAGGAGAAGAGGGGCGGGAGAAAGGAGTAAGGGGCGGGAGAAAGGAGAAAGGTACCCCCTGTCCGCCCCCTCTGTCATCAGCAAATAGGCATCAGAATCAATTATTATTTGTTTTGCGAAAAAGTAGGGGTCATTGGCCTCTTGTCCCGCCCTTCTCGGCTCTATGACAGTGACTGCGCACATTTTTGTGCAGTGTCTTGTTGACAAGGATTTGTATAGTGAGAGCAAATTTCCATCATTACTGATTACCGGCATGCTGCAGGTATCCTTTTTCTTTTGCCATGGTGTTGCATGTTTATGTTTTGTTTTTTTGTATTGCCCCCTTTTTATCCCCCTTTCACCGCAAATTAGGATTACACCTCAATATGAATATAATATGTATATATAACATATATTTTTATCGTCTTTCAAAACTATTTTTCTACCTGCATTCCCAGACTGTAAAATCCGGAAATAAATTTTAGTTCGCATTCGATTATTTATTATAAGATCAGGACAATTTCCGATTTGAGGCAATTTTAGTTGAAAAAATATTTTGTTTGATATTTATGTTGGTTTATAAGAATTGTGCAACACTAAAAAGTATATATGGATGCAACTGTACGTATTTTTTTACTTCTAAACCTCAATTCGAGTCCTGTCAATTTTCAGAGGCATAAACAACTTAACAAGTCAGAATCTAAGAAGAAGTGAAATTTTGTTTTTAAAGTAATTTTTAAGTAAATCAATAAATCATACATAATCCTGATCCTAAGGTCAACACTTTGACATGACTTGTCTCATTGTACTATTTTTTGCATCCTTGTCTGGTACTCAGTAACTCTATTTTTCCAAGTAGTATTTCATGGTACTTTGGTATACATTTTTTTCAGCACACAATAGGCGTTTACGGCTTTTTAGATAAGGAAACCACTCTGTTGTCGCTATACATGTATATTCTCCTGCAATAAATCAAGGTTTTTGCTGTCGCCATTATTTTGGTTTGGAATAAAATATTAAATTCTGACAAAAAACTCCTTATTTCAGGATTTGGTTAGTCAAATTGGACAACCTTACCCAACGATAGGTACATGTGTATTCAATTGTCTCCCAGTTTCACTTATGGTCCATCTAATTTGCCATAAACTCATTCTTTTGCTGCATCTTTGCCAACTAGTCTGCTAATTTCGCCTTCGATCCAAGATAGGAATTATGGGTATGCTGCATCTCAAGTGTGTTCCAATGCTTTCCTTAATATCTGTAATTGTGTAATTGTGTCAATGTGGATAGTTGATAACCAATTGAGATTCTGGATGCCAACAGATGTCTGGCTATCTGAATGTATTTTCACCTCAGTGAACTGGTCTTTGATTGTGACTATACACTGATACAGAAGTTCCCTTAGGATAGCTACGTACTAGGTCAGTGGCCACTGGTCTTTTTAGGCTTGTTTACAAATGTATGTCTGTTCCAAGTATATATTTTATGTACTGCTCCTGCTCCACATAATGTAGTCATAGGTTACCTTGACAAGAGCCATCTGTAAATATGACTTACTTTTGAGTCTGAGCTCTCTCCTATCAGATCCTGGACAATCTGTTTACTTTGGAAAGTCTGATTTGCTGTTCTTTTCTTTAAACTTCCTAATTGACTTCAGAAACTTAGGCTGTCATTATCATAAAATCTTTGCCTGCTTTGTATGTAAACTCTGGTTCCACAAGGTTACCACCTTTGTTACTTTGAACCTGTTGATCGATGACTTGATTTATCATAAGCCTTACCAAACAAAGACTCTTGTTGTTCAGACATCTCATTGTTGATTTGTGTTTGATTGTTTGATTGAGTCAGATATGTTTTTTTATGAATTTTTGCAATTTTCTTCCATTTGAAGGTCGTTAGGCTGTATATTGGTCCCTAATTCAATTGCTTTTCTACATGATGTTCATGGCAGTCTTAGGCATACTGATAGGCCTTTTGTTTGGATGGATTCCATTATTTTTTCATATTTTCTGTTGATGTTATCTGCCAAACGACGTATGCATACTTAAAACAGAATGCACCTTGGTTATGTACATGTAATTTTGAAGTAAATTTGACCTTGAAATTTTCCAGGGCCCTGTACCATGTTTACAAAGGTTTATATTAACATTTTTCAAAAGGAGCAGAGCCAATAAGGCCTTTATTTTTCCTAACCATGCCAAACATACTCAGGTACAAGATGTATAGGAAATGAAAATTAATTTTAGATCTGAGGAGCTACCATCATGACCATGGTCAAAGTTGTATATATATTTGGTAAAATTTCTTGTTTTAAATTTTTTTTTAAATTTATGTGTGCATTGGTGCATTGGTAGGGAACATTGTCTTACTACAATGTACATGTAGGTACTTTGAATGGTTTCTATATACAAATGTATATATCCATCAAAGAAGTTATTCTTCTTTTTAATCCTTTAAAATGTCCTCTGTACTAGCTGCAGTAAACAAAAAAATACTTGGACTAAATATCTTTGAAAATGTAGAAAATACCTTTACATGTACAATATAACATGTAGTTTCAAATGCTAAATATTTATTAAGTAAAAGTTTTAATATGCAAACCATGATTTAGGAAAGCTTAGTTTAACTTTTTCAGACACTTTTTGCTTACGTACATGCATATATTTGTACTTTTAGAGTCAAGAGGCACACTTAAAGAAAAAACTACAATGTTTTCTACAAGAGCTGTTGAGGATGGGTACTGTGAAGGGTTTTAAACACTTAGCCACATACTTGAGAGGGAAAGAAGAAATGGTTATAAGCATTGTAAATGAACCACAGGTACATATAACAATTTAGACACTTATATCAATGTTATTTGTCACATATATTACATGCTTAAGGAATACAAATGTATGGTGTTGGTGTTGGAACTCCTTTGATGTTTGTTTAATTTTTTCACAATTTGGTCATGATCATAGCCTAGCCAAATTGTAAATAAATACAGTTAAAAACATGATAAACATTATAAAGTACAGCCTGGGACATACTTTGATAAATGTCTACCATGATGGTCCTCTACATTTATTATGTCTATATCCATCATTAGAGCACCTGAAGCTTGATTAATAAACAAAGTATTTATAGGATGTGTTTACTCATTCTGAATTTTGTTAATATTTTTTTTGAATAAAAAATGTTGTGATTAAGATAAAATTTTCCCATTTAAGATTATGTCTAGGATTTTATATAAATGAGTTTTGTTACTCTCATTCAGATCCTTTATTCTTTTATATTTTGATGATATTGAAAATTAATAACAGTAAATTTTAATTAAAGTCTTTTTTATTTTTATTATTTGCACAAATAATTCAATCTGGATAAAGTCAAAAAAATGAAGGTCAGAGGATATAAAATTGTTATAATCAAATAAAAATGTTTATCTGTTAAATCATTACATATTTACCAAACTTTTGAACTTATAAAGATATATATCTTTTCACCAAGTATCCTATTTACAACTCTTAAACATGCCACATTGACAAATTGTTTTTTATTGAATTATTTGATCATTACTGAATTTGATAATACAAATTTGAATACAAAGTTGTTTGATATATATATGTTCATGGTACATGCTAAACATTTACTGAAAAAACAAGCATCATGTCATGATGCTTGTTTTTTCAGTAAATGTACATGTAGTACTTTTTCTCATTTCCTCTCAATAGGATTAATTTCAGACATATTAGATTTCTAATATTTATGATATTGATATATCAGTTTTTATTATTCAACTTTTGTGCAGTTTATCATGTTTATTTCTTCCCTTTTTATACGACCGCAAAAATTAAAAATTTTTTGGTCGTATATTGGTATGACGTTGGCGTCGTCGTCTGGCGTCGTCCGAAGACACATTGGTTTTCGCACTCTAACTTTAGTTTAAGTGAATGGATCTCCATGAAATTTTACCATAAGGTTCAATACCACGAAAGGAAGGTTGGGATTTTGGGGGTTATGGTACCAACAGTTAAGGAATTAGGGGCCAAAAATAAGCATTTTTGTAACTTCCAGACAATAACTTGTGTGTAAGTGTATGGATCTCTCTGACATTGTACCACAAGGTTCCTTATCACAAAGGGAAGGCTGTTATTGATTTTGGGGGTAATTGCCTCAAAATTTTAGGAATTAGGGGCCAAAAAAGGGGCAAAAAACAAGCATTTTTCTAGTTTCATGACAATAACTTGTGTGTAAGTGTTTGGATATTTCTGAAATTGTACTACAAGGTTCCATATCACAAAGGGAAAGCTGGAATTGAGTTTGGGGGTAATTGCCCGAAACGTTTAGGAATTGGGGGCCAAAAAGGGGCCAAAAATAAGCATTTTTCTAGTTTCCAGACAATAACTTGTGTTCAAGTGTATGGATCTCTCTGAAATTGTACTGCAAGGTACCATAACACAAAGTGAAGGCTGGGATTGAGTTAGGGGGTGATGAATCATAAGGGGGTTCAAAAAAATTGGGGGGGGATTTTTTTTTTCTTTTTTTTTTTTTTTTTCCTTTTTTTTTTTCTTTTAAAATTTTCCATTTTAAGTTGGTTATTTCTGATTAATATTTAAAAGCAAATAATAATGATATGGTAGGAGATACACACCAAACAGGATGTGTAAATTATTATATAATAAGTATTGTGCAATAGCAAGAAATTTTCAATTGCACAGTATTGCACAATAGCAAGAAATCTTCAATTGCACAGTATTGCGCAATAACAAGAAATCTTCAATTGCACAGTATTGCGCAATAGCAAGAAATATCCAATAGCACAATATTGCGCAATAGCAAGAAATTGTCAATTGTACAGTATTGCGCAATAGCAAGAAATATTCAATTGCACAGTATTGTGCAAAAGAAGATACTTCGTATAAATTGCTTATTTCTTGATCAATTTCAATGGGGTTTTATTCTTGAATTCTTGGGGTTCTTTAATATGCTGAATCTAATCGTGTATTAAGTTTTTGGATTTTGGGCCCCGTTTTTAAATTGGTCCACATTGAGGTTCAAAGGGTCCAAAATTTAACTTTGTTTGATTTCATCAAAAATTTAATTATTGGGGTTCTTTGATATGCCGAATCTAACCGTGTATTTAGATTCTTAATTTTTGGTTCCGTTTTCAAATTGGTCTACATTAAGGTCCAAAGGGTCCAAAATTCAACTTAGTTTGATTTTAACAAAAATTTAATTTTTAGGGTTCTTTGATATGCTGAATCTAAACATGTATTTAGATATTTGATTATGGGCCCAGTTTTCAAGTTGGTCCAAATCGGGGTCCAAAATTAAACTTTGTTTGATTTCAACAAAAATTGAATATATGGGGTTCTTTGATATGCTGAATCTAACCATGCATTTAGATTTTTGATTTTTGGTCCCCGTTATCAACTTTGTCCACATTGAGGTCATAAGGGTCCAAAATTAAACTTTGTTTGATTTCATCAAAAATTGAATTCTTTGGGTTCTTTGATATGCTGAATCTAACCATGTATTTAGATTTTGGATATTGGACCATAAAAGGTGAATGTCCAATTTAAAATTTTTAAGTTCTTAGACCACATTCATTCTGTGTCAGAAACCTCTGCTGTGTCAAATATTTAATCACAATCCAAATTCAGAGCTGTATCAAGCTTGAATATTGTGTCCATACTTGCCCCAACTGTTCAGGGTTCGACCTCTGCGGTCGTATCAAGCTGTGCCCTGCGGAGCATTTTATTATCTTTCTTAACATAACTTTGTCTGCCACCATAGTGAGATATCTTTTAAAATTTTATCAAAATTAAATCCATCTCACATGTTTAATTGTTAAAAATATCACTACTGTAAATTCAGAAATTATTGCGATGTTTTTATTATTGCGAAAAATGCGACAGGGTTATAATCGCAATAATTTAAACTCGCATTTTGAAATTTTTTATATGAATTAAACAAGATATTTCTCAATATCGCAAAAATTAGAATTCATTTTAGTCTAAAATGACAAAATCACAATAATAAATGCACGCAATAATTTCTGAATTTACAGTATATGCATAGATATCAGGTGAGAGATGCATTCTCCTTGGAGCATGTAGTTAGACTTTCCCATAAAAAGGCTTGGATAAGCATCTTGTTTTGGCCCTTAAAGGTGACTGGGCAATAGAAATGTGTTCACTTTAGTTGTCTTCCGAACGGCAGTTAAACTGTTACCAAAGTTGGGCGTATTTTTGGCTGTGCAGGATGTACAAGTACACAGCAACGTCCAGTCAGGATGGGGACATTAAATCCAATGCCTCATGTAAAGAGAGTGACATGCTCTGCATGTTAAGAACTCTTATAACAACTCATTGAGGGGTTGGTAGGTGGCCTGTTGCAATGCAAAATTTCTGACCCCATCCAATATACCATATTTTTAGTGGCAGTCCAAATTTCCCTGACCTTCATCCCAGATAGCCTCTATTACAGGACCTACCTATTGTATTTATTGTTAACTTCTTTTCGTCTCAAACATGCCTGAAATATTTGCCACTGGACATTAAGCAACCAAAAATCAAGCAATCAATTTGGTTTTGATAACTCCTCATTAATTACTAACTGATTTTAAGTGTTAAAAAAAATCACAGTATATTCCTTATATAATGCCACTGTGTAGCTGTTATTTTGATTATGAATCTGAAAAGTTCTTGATCAGGTTTCACATAGCAAACATTGACCCTACCTTTTCTACTAAAAAGGGTAGGCATTGTGTGATTGTAACACCTCCTCAACCATTGAATACCTTTAAACAATTAAATTATACACCTTCTGCTATCAATTGGTATATTTTGTTGTAAGGATAATTAAGCAGTTTTGAACAAAACATTAGTTAGCAACTTTTTGTGTTCCAAATTTTGGCTTTTTGTGTCAATCTCATATTTTAATTTTCATTTGCTATAATCGGGCCAAAATAAAAATATTGTATGTTTTCCCAAACGCGACCGACCCAAAAAAAAACCGCCGACTCAAATTCCTTTTTTGCCGTTTTTTTTGAAGATTTTTTTTTTTCGGAACTTTTTCGTGTCCGCTCCGTCATCGTATAAAACTTAATGTTCGTCGTTTTTGCGTTTGAAAGTAACTGTGAATAAGATTAAAAGAAAGCGTGTAAGAGACGCAGTTAATCGATATTCGATGTTCTCGGTTTTTATCTTCTGATTTAACGAACGGTTCTGCTTTGGCGCCGGCTACTTCAAAATTGTCAAAAATAATATTTTCACAAAGTTTTCATTTTTTACCAAGTCGATGAAACATTGATAATTAAAGAAATTCAGACATAAACGATTCATTTTCTGAAGAACAGAGATTTAAGCATTGACTTTATAGTGTGAAGCAGATTATTTAATAAAAAGACAACTTTTTATCACTTCATTCACTTCCGGTACTTGTTACACGAGATCGTACATCAATCTAACTTTCGGCGACAAAATAAGTTTGTTACTTCGTTTATTTTTGTAAATTTTCTTCGTCCGCCATTAACTGTTTTCTAACTACGGAGCGGAAACGGACCAGCTATGACCGAAATCCGTATTTTTACAATAATAACTACGTACACATGAATGGAACAGCTGACAAGGAAATTGGTCCCAAATGGAAAAATTACGCATTCCACACGCATTAACAGACTATTTGTTAGATTTACTTGATTAATGTATATAATTCCATATATATGGATTGTTTCAAAATATTGATTAAACTTGCTTAATTAACTCTGGGACTATAATACTAATATCAATATATATGGCCCAGCTTAACTTTGTATATCTTTTGATGAGAAACACTGA